ACTACTTACGATCGACTCTGAGAGACTGCAAGTGTGTGTGATGCAGGGTTGTCGTACATACACGATACACCCTACCTACCTAGGTAGGGCGTACCGTAGCATATATAGATATTAGCTTTCTGCACAATATAGGTACATTATTGTAGTCAAGGTTTGGGTTAGGTTTAGTTAGGTTCTTCTCTACAATATCAATGAAAAAAACTCATAGTTATTCAAAATTGCGAGTTTATTTCTTGTTACAAAACAAAATAGTTACATATGGTGTTAAACTTAACTAAGGAGTGGCTTTGGATGTTGAAGCGTGGCACTGCATGTCCTCAGCATACTTTTCATGAGATGGTACGTAACCACTGAGTGCTAATCGCAAGCATGATGTCATATGATCGTCAGTTAGTCGATTGCGATATTTTGACTTAATTATCTTTATTTCAGAAAATGCAGACTCGCACAAGTAAGTTGACTCAAAAAATGCCGTCAGTTGAAGGGCGATTTGCCTTACATTCGGATATTTATCTTCAGATATAAAACGCCAGAAATGTGTATCAAATACTGTAGCTTTGAGATGTATATCTGATATAATCTGCACCAACTCATTTTCAACAGAACATGAGTTCATATTAAACTGACTTGCTATTTCAGTAGCTAATTCCTCAATGTTTTTACATGAAAAAGGATAACCCATAAATGATGCTATATTTTCCAATTTACTGCAATCATAAAAACGCATTTCGAATTGTCCCAAAATATTTGATAATTCAGCCTCATACGTATCATAATTCAACTGAGGAATCCTTGCTTTCAAAGACGGAAAATGTTTCAGATCCTTTCTTTTCAGTTGATGTATCATAAGTTGCAATTTACTTTTGAATGCGTTTACTGCGCTAATCATCTCAATAATAGTTTTTCCTTTACCTTAAAGCTCCAAGTTAACGGTGTTTAAGTGCATTGTGATGTCAGTCAAAAATGCCAAATCATTTAGCCATTTTTCGTTTTTCAAAATCTGAGTGTCATCACCTCTTTCGTCTAGAAAAGCTGTTATTTCGGGCAATAATTCTTGAAACCTTTCTAGGAATTTTCCGCGACTCAACCAACCTGACGTCCGTGTGAAGAACTAAATCAGTGTGTTCAGCTGACTCCCTATCTTCCAACTGCAACTGAAAGAGCCGCCGTTGCAAGCTACGTGCACGGATGGAATTCACAATTTTTGTTGCAATGCCCATAATTTCCTCCGTGTTTAAAACTTTTGAACACAAAACTTATTGATGTATAATGCAATGGAATGAAAAAAATGAAGGGAATTCTTCATTAGCTCGACACAATGCCACAAAACCGTTTTTGTTTCCAGTCATTGCTGGTGCTCCCATCGGTTGTAATGCACATTAATTTATATATTGGTAGCTCGTAGTTTTTTACAAAATTTAAGGAAACGTCATACATATCTTCGCCACGGGTCTTCCCCTTCAGAGGAATGATTGTCAAAAATTCTTCCTTAGCCAACATGTCATTGAATACCATCCAAATAAAAATACACAGCTGGGCAGTGTCTGTCATATCGATGGATTCGTCGAACTGTAAAGAAAAGTATTCCATGATATCATGTTTTAGTTTATCTGCGATATCTTGACTCATGACTTCAATACGCCTTGTGACAGTCGGACGAGATAACTGAAGTTCTCTAATAGCAGACATGATTTCTGTTTTATTTTTAAAATCTCCAAATAAAGTCTGACCCGCTTCAATAAATGCTTCCTTCACCACCGATCCATCTTCAAATGGTTTCTTGTGTTTCGCCAAAATATGAGATATTTTAAATGACGCGATCGTAGCAGCTTTTGATTGTTTGGCTGGTCTTGTGAACATGGATTGTTCTTTTTTCAAACAAGATATCAAATCACTTACTTTTCGTTTTCTTAATTCACTCTGTGACGGAAAATCCTTTCCATAGTTTTTTTGAACCGTTTTATGATGCCCTAAGTTACCACGCTTATGTATTGCAACTGACGCACGACAAATAATTATAATAAATATTGAATTAATAAAATAATTAGTTAATATATGTAAATATAAATATGCTGTGTGGACAGTATTTTGTTGTCCCCCACTTCTTTGAATTGCAATGAATGCTTAGTCAAGCATTCTATGTATTTGTGATGCATTCTATGTATATGTATGTGATTCAGTAGAAATTCAGTATTCTGAATAGCTAGCGGTAAAGTTCATTTAGGGTCTGTGTGATACCACTACGCTAATAGTGTTTTATTTCTGAAATGGCAGGCTCCTTCAAAAGTGTATTTTGGAGAGCCCAATTTTGATAAAAGTGTAAGGCGGTGGTATGATGAATTAGAAAGTGAGTTTAGTGATTATAAGAACTAAAACGACAAAGATTTTTCTCCAAAGAGTGACTGATGTGAGTCTCTGATTCTGAGATGGAAGATTAATGGGACAATGTTGAAACACAAGAAAATCAGGCTATACGTGAAGAAGAAGAGGGGCTATAAAAAACAAAGGGAAAGTTTTATTTTGGTAAAAATCGATAAAAGTGGTCTACTGTTCCAGCCAATCCAGATTTGAATATTAGAACAAAAGAAACACAATCTGATAAAAGGTTACCCGGTGTTGACAGGACCTGCAAAATGTGGTCATGTCTCCGATCGCTTAAATATATGGAGCTTTCTTTTCACAGAGGATATGGAAAATGAAATAATGAAAAAATAAAAAGATAATGTTATTTCAAGATAAATTTATTAATTCTGATAGAACAGAACTGAGAGAACTAACAAAGGAAGAATTTAGAGCGTTTCTCACCGTCTTGTATTACTCTGCAGTTTTCAAGTCAAATGATAAAGACTTGCAAGAAATATTTGTAACAGATAGAACGGGACAAGACATATTCACATGAATTATATCCTTGAAAACAATATATATGTTGCTCACATGTCTAAGGTTTGTTGACTAAATATTTAGTGTAAATATTTTATTGCTTTTGTTTTAGGTTTGATAATGCATATGAACGAGAAGAACAACGATCTAACTGCATCAGTGTCTTGGTTATTTGAGCGTTCTGTAATAAATTGCGTAGTCTGTTATTCTATGGGAGAATTATGTTGTATCGAGAAAATGCTGATAGGATTTCAGGATAGATGTAGGTTCCACATATACATACCTACTAACAAATGAGGAGAAATGTTGCATGAAACCAACACAAGCGGGGTTTAGACTGTGTCAATAAATTGCTAATTCAAACCGAAATGTTACAGCAGACAATTGGTTTTCATCCATAGAAGTCATGGATCCATTAAAAAAACGAGGACTGATCTATGTTGGTAAATATATGTATATGAGCCGCAATAACCAAAGCAGAGACAGAAACCGTCAGAATATCACCATCGATGACCTTAACTTTGAGCGCGTTAGAGAATTCAAGTATCTTGGAACAACAATAACTGGAGACAATAACGGACCACAAGAAATAAATAACAGGATTCAGGCCGGCAACAGATGTCGTTTTGCCCTCCAAAACCTTATAAAATCAAAACAACTAACACGACGTACGAAGGTACAGGTCTATAAAACAATCATACGACCCGCTGTGATGTATGGAAGCGAAACGTGGACGATAACAAAGGCAAACGAAGAGAGACTATGTGTTTAGGAAAGAAAAATCCTAAGGAAGATCTTTGGTCCTGTGCTGGATGAAGCATCAGGACAATATAGGATAAGAACTAACAAAGAGCTTGAAGAACTTTACCCAGACGCCAACATAGAAAAGAAATAAAGTCCAGAAGACTCCAATGGGCAGGACACCTCAGAAGACATTCTGACGAACGAACAGTAAGACTGGTGTGGGAGGAGAGTCCCAACTGGAAGGAGACCACACGGACGCCCTCGTCTCCGGTAGCGAGATAATATAGCAGGAGACCTAAGCACTATGGTTGTGGAGAATTGGATGGAGGTGGCTCAAGACAGGAAACCACACAAATATACTTTTACAAATATTCTTTTACAAATAACCACACTATAATTTCCTACGTTTTAAAAAAGTGAAAAGGCAATTGTTTTAATATCATCATTGGATCAATCGAATGTGAGGACATAGAATCTGGTAAATCCGAAATCATTTGCTTCTATAATCAAACAAAAGGCGGTGTGGATGCACTAGATAAAAAATGTACCACATATTTCTACTAACTGGCGAACTACGCGATGGTTAATGACTATTTTTTTACAATATTGAATATTGCAGGTGTTAATGCACATATTTTACACGGATGTTACAAAAACAACCAAACCGTAGAGAGAAAATCCTTTTAAAACAATTCTTGCAAGACAATTTCACAGTTTCTCATATCTCAATGTAAGACTGCACCATTTTCGATTACCTAGGGAGCTTTCCATGAGTATCAGTAGAATACTAAAGAAAGCTTTACCTGCATTTAGAAAAATGTTACTTGTAAATAGTTCGCAGTTTTGTTGATAATAAAATTATTTTAATTAGAGAGTTTGTATACTTTAGTTCCTTGTCCTTGTTCTTTATGTGAAACGAAAAAATCAAGAAACAAATAGAGATTTTATTTTTTAAATTTTTTTAATAATTTGAAAAATAAATAGAAAATAGACTTACATGGTTTTAATGCAACTTAAATGATTACAAATTATAACTAACTACAAAATAATGAATTATGTCTTTATTGATTTCACAAAAAACTAAAAAAATGGCAGCAGTTAACGGCAGAATAAACCACGAACGCCAGTTAAGGGGCCAAGAAAAATTCCAAACAACCAAAACAAATTATTTGATTGCACTAAACTGAAAAAATGACCTTACAGGATTAATAGGATAGGATATAAAAAAAAGGATATAAAAAAGCAACAATCGTTTTACAAGTATTATTTACTTAAATATAATGAAAAAATAAATTTACCCGGAACAAATAAACCATTTAACACTTATTATTTTTAAGCATCTTTGGATGAGCGTTTATCACATGATCTTTACAAACGTCTGGTTTATTATCTTTTAGTAAGTTGCAAACGGTCGATGTAAGATCCATCACAGCTTGCTCTTCTATGTCTGCATCATAGACGCCATTAAATCTTACATTTGGTACCCAAGGTAATTCGGGATTAAGCTTTGCTTGCCTGTCCTCATACGATAATAAAAGTTCAGTTCCACGTTCACCATGATAACAATCATTTACTTTGTCCCAGGAAACGCTGCTTGGCAACAACTGCAAAACATTAAATTATTAAAATGTTATTAAAGCTATACTGGAGTTGAAGCTTGTAATAAAAGTCAATTGGAAGAGTTTTCGTATACTAAGAAGGAGTCATTAATATTTATGGTTGATTTAGAAATTTAGACTAAAGCGATATTCGACATTTTTTGCAAGTTATCCGAATTTTAAATCGTTATTATGAATTCTTTTTGAAGAACTTTTGTGATTATTGTTCAACACTTACACAGTTCTAATTAAAACAAAATATAAATTCAGCATCGTCAATATATTCTACTTGGCAGTACTTTCCTTCTTCTTATTCTAGTTCCATGACCGTTATCGATCGTTGGATATCATGTGGGCTACCATATTCGCTATCGTGACTTTATTGACAGCAGCTCAAAATAACGATGTAGTTGATTTTCCATACCATTGCCTTAGATTTTTCAGCCATGATGTTCTTCTACCAGGACCACGATTACCTTGGATCTTTCCCTGAATGATCAGATGTAAAAGATCATATTTTTCAGGGTGTCTCATAATGTGACCGAAGTATTCCAGCTTGCGTTTCTTTATTATATTGACCAGTTGTGTTGTTTGGTTTAGCCGTCTAAGGACCTCCTCATTTCTAACTCTGTCGAAGCGTTTAAGGATAGCCTCAGTTAGAGTCCACGCTTCTACTTCATACAGCAGGACAGGAAAGATGTAGCAAGATGTCATTCGAACTCTAAGGTCAATGCTAAGATCGTGATTGCAAAGTACGTTTCTCATTTTTACAAAGGCAGCTCGGGCTTGTTATATTCGGCTTTTAATTTCTGCTGTTGGATCCCAGCTCTCATCGATATTACTGCCGAGATACACGAGTTTCTCTACTCTGTCCAGTGTGGCATCTCCGACTTTTATACCGTCATCCTGTATATAATTTTGTTTGCTAACTATCATATGTTTAGTTTTCTTAACGTTGAGTTTTAATCCATACTGATCACAAGTCTGTTTTATTTTGTTCATTAGATTTTGAAGGTCTTCTCCGCAATTAGCAAGGACTAAGATATCGTCGGCATATCTAATATTGTTGACGATTACTCCATTCACAATAAAACTTCGGTTGTCTCCATTAAGGCTTCCTTAAATATTTCCTCCGAATATAAGTTAAAAAGTAAAGGCGACAATATACAGCCTTGTCTCACTCCTCTTTTTATATTTATTTCATCCGACAGTTCTTGTTCAACCTTTATTTTTGCCACTTGATGCCAATATAGATTTGTAATTATTCGTAGATCTTTATCGTCCAATCCGGCTGTTTCCAATATTATTTCTAGCATTTTGTTATGTCGGACTTTGTCAAAAGCCTTTTCAAAATCGATTGCACAAATGTACACATTTTGATTTATATCTCTGCGTCTCTGTACTATCACCTGTATACTAAACAAGGCTTCTATTGTACCCAAGCCACTCCTAAACCCAAATTGAGTATTGCTAATTCTGTCCTCTAACAGCAATGTTAGTCGACTTTAACGACTTTAACCAATCAGTTGGTAATATCCCAGTGTCATAAATTCTGTTAAAGAGATTACACAGAGTTTGAATTCCATTTTCTCCCAAAAACTTTAGTATTTCAGCACTTACTTCATCGGGGCCACGTGCTTTTCCATTTTTTGCCGTTTGTATATGTTTTACTCTCTCTCTTCAAATAATTCAGAAATATAGTTTTCCTATTCTTTTAACTGTTCATTGATGTCTAATATTCTGTGTCCGTTTCTGTCTTCTAAACTTTGGGATACTTGTTTCCGTTTGTTTCCAGCGACCTCTTTTAATTTCTTGTGCAGATGAAATGTATCGTGTTTCTTTTCATATTGTTCAATTTCATTACATTCTTTACTATGAAATTGTATTTTCGCGTGTCTTATCTTCTGCCTGATTATTGCGTGGATCCTCTTGTATTCGTTTTTATCTTTATTTCTGACTTCTCTTCTTTAGTCCATAAGTCTCAGTATTTGTTCTGTCATCCACCCTTGTTTTTTTTCTTGCTTATAGCGCACTCGATTTTGTTTCTTGAACAGTTTTTAAGATGTCTTTAACTTCATTTTTTATTCTAATATACTAGTTATTTCTTGTTTATTATTACTTTCCTTCTGCTTCTACATATCTCAAAATTTACTTTTTACAACTAGCTAAAGAAAATATACTTACTGATTTGGCCAGTTCTAATTCTTCCTGCTCGTTGCGTTCTTGTTCGTCGGTGGCAGACAAATGTTTATATATGAAAGTAACGTAGTCTACTGAAGATGGTTTTTGATCAAGAACACAAGCGTGGATTCTGTTAATATAACATTCTTCGTCACCATGCTGGCAAGTAAATGTTACTTTTCCATCAGCGCTACGTGCAGAATGCTACAAACAGAAAGAGAGTTTAGTGAAATATCAAATAGAGATTCGAAAATTACGTTTTGTATTAGTAGTATTGAATTTTATCAGCAATCCGATATTAAGAAAAAATAAACAGTGAAACAAAAAATAAGGACACATAAGAAAAACCCATAAAAGAAATTCAATCGTTGGCAATGTGGTTTTATAAAAGGATGTTATAAACATAATGGGTTCAAACAGTTACCAATATTGAAGAGCTTGACGTCTAAATAAAGTATTAGATATCATAAAAACTATTTTTAACACGAAAACAACATACAGATGAAAAACCAGTTCGAGTGTTACACAATCTAAACTCTTGAAGGCCGAGATAGAAGATATGGTATGGACAATAGCAAAATATGAGTCGTCAAAAAGTATATGTAAAATATGCTTATACATATGCTATATATAAACCGATATCATAATAGTTAGAATGTTATAGATAATAAAACACTAAAACTAAACTAAAACACTATACTATTCTGGAAGTGTAGAAGACAACACACATCATAGAAATGGAGTTGGCATATTTATAACGTCTAAATTTAAGAAATATGTGAAAAATTTTATACCAGTGAACGACAGACTAGCAATACTCCAATTAAATAACAAACCATTTAATGTCAATGTTATCCAGATATATGCCCCTACTGCAGAAAAGAAATACGACAATGATGTCAAATCATTCTATAGCCAATTAAAACAGACACTTAAAAATATAAAAAGTAACGAAGTCACATATATTATTGGAGATTTTAACGCAAAAATTGGCCAAAGCCGAAGATCTGACCTGGTAGGTGAATATGGACTAGGGGAGAGCAATGAAAGAGGCGATATATTATACCAGTTCTGTCAAGAACATGACATGATAATCGCAAATACATGGTTCAAATTACACATGGAGGGGACCAGGAGATAATTCACTACATATGATTAGAAATCAGATATATTCTAGACTATATTCTGGTAAACAAGAGATTTAAGGATGGCGTCACCAGAGTAACGACATATCCTGGTGCAGATATCGGTTCAGACCATAACCCTGTAATAACTGACATCAAAGTGAAGCTCAAAAAAATCCAAGAAAGCCCCAAAACACCAAAATTAAATATCTCAATATTCAACAAAACGTTAATAGAAAATGACTTAAACAATGAGCTAAAGAATCAATAAATAAAAACAACACAGAAATATGGAACACATTTAAAGATCTTACTTTGAAAGTAATAGAAAAATATTCAACAACGTTACACAGGCACAAAAAACAACAATGAATGACTGATGAAATCCTGGAATTAATGGAGCAGAGAAGGAAACTGAAAGGTAACAAGACAGAATATAAAGAAAAACAGGAACTAATTAAACACAAAATAGAGGTGGCTAAAGAAAAATGGATGGAGGATAAACGCAAGGAATTAGAAAAGTTGAATGAAAAACATGATATGTTTAATATGTTTAAAAAAGTTAGAGAAGTAGCTGGTCTTTATCATAAGAAAACTCCACATACTATAACCGATTCGTCGGGAAAAATGATAATAGACGAACATGAAATTCGAACAACCTGGTGTATTTATATAAGTGAACTGTATAATGATGATAGACCCGAAGAACTGGAGACTTCAGTTGAAGGTGAAGGACCAGAAATACTAAAATCAGGAATACTGCATGCTATAAAGTTAGCAAAGAACAAGAAAGCCGTTGGCCATGATAATATACCGACAGAGATGTTAAAGCTTATAAATAAGGAGAACATTGGAATACTGGTCAAACTTTTCAATTATGTTTATTCGACTGGTGATATCCCTGAAGATTGGTTAAAGCCCGAATTCATAACACTACCAAAAAAACAACGTCCGAAAAACTGTAGCGATTATAGAATGATAAGCCTTATGAGCCACACTTTAAAAATATTTCTAGGCATCATCCACAGTAGAATCAGAGATACATGTGAAGAAGACCAGGATGAAACACAATTTGGCTTCAGAAATGAACTGGGGACTCGGAACGCCCTCTTTGCACTAAATGCATTACTGCAGAAATGTCGAGATCAAAGGAAAGACGTCTCTGCTGTATTTATTGACTATCAAAAGGCCTTTGATCGATTAATTACAATATTAAAAGATAAAGGAGTTGATAGTCAATACATACGATTCATAGAAAAGTTAAACTGGCGTCAAACAGCGACAGCTTGCATAAACGAAAAATCAACAAAAATATGTAAAATACAAAGAGGTGTTAGACAGAATTGTATACAGGGCGCTTCATAATTTGGAATGGGGCGTGAAAGTTAATGGAATTCTGATAAATACAATCATATATGCAGATGATACAGTTATTTTAAGTGATGACATGAATGGATTACAATACCTTTTAAATGCCATTGATACAGTGGGAAGAGAGTTTGGCCTAAGCATAAACTGTTCAAAAACAAAACACATGGTGTTTAGCCGTTTAGTACATCAAGATGCACGATGATATGTTGACGGTCATATAATTCAAAGAGTGTCCAGTTTTAATTATTTTGGTTGCTATATTACTGAACAACTAGATCCAGATCAAGAGATAAAATGTAGAATCGAGATAGCCCGCACGACATTTTTAAAAATGAGGTCATTCTTCTGTAATGATAACTTGCAACTTCAACTTCGAAAGCGCATTTGATAAATGTCGCTGCACAGACGAATACGTAAAAATTCCATGGACGGCTATGCTGACAAATGTGGCAGTCCTTGAGAGAGCAAATGCAGCTCGCGAGCTTGATAACATCAAATGTAGAAATATGGCCTATTTTGGACACGTAGTAAGGGGAGACCGATATAATATTCTTCAACTTATTATGATGGGTAAAATCGAAGGACGCAGAGGAATTGGTAAAAAGCAGGCCTCTTGGTTGAAGAATATCAGGGAATGGACAGGTATAAAGAAAGCTGAGCAACTCTTTAGAATAGCTCGAGACAGAGACAGTTTTGCCATGTTAATCGCCAACGTCAAGGGGACTTAATAGGGCACGTTAAGAAGAAGATAATAAAAAAGATTAGGGTGAGGATAGGTATAAAAATGTGAACTGTTAAAACCCAACATGAACAAATCTCCATACGAAAAAAAAAATTATATGGAATATGTTAATAATGACGTCAAAATGCTACAATATGCATTTTCTCATGTAAGTGAGAGCGCTCACCAAACTGGCGTGGCAAGTGGCAAATAGCAAGTAGCACGCGTCTGGCATGTTACTTAAAATGTAACCAATACAAACAAATGAATAAAATGAAAGACGTCACTGTCATTTTGGTGTGCGTTGAATCATTCGTTATCATTGGTTACATTTTAAGTAACATGCTAGACGCGGGCTACTTGCTACTTGCCACTTGCCACGCCAGTTTGGTGGGCACTCGCCCTAAGACGTACATCCACATCCCAATTTTGTTTATTTACCAAAAAAATTTTCCAGTTCCTACCAGATTTAAATCTGGGACCTACTAACAGTAAGTTTGCAGTCTCTTTACATAGCTACCGGTAACTCATTTTTAATTATTTTTATGATGTTAAGGCTTTCTGAAGATCATTAGGTTAAGGTTTTCTTAAGGCTCATATGCGAAATTGGAACACTGCCACAAATATGGTTGGAGTCTACATTTATCCCACTTCCAAAACCTATTACATCATCATGTAAAGACTTTAGACTAATTAGTCTCATGAGTCACTCTCTCAAGCTACTTCATAAGATAATTCTTAATAGAATCAAGCAGAAATGTGAACACACAATGGGAAATAAACAATTCGGTTTCAGAGAAAGATTGGGAACAAGGGAAGCTTTGTTCTCAATGCTAACACTACTTCAACATCATGGGAAGTACAGAAACCAATTTACGTCTGTTTTATAGATTTTGAGAAGGCGTTTGACAGGGTTCAACATGGTAGGCTGTTTGAATATCTAGAAATAATTTGAATAGATGATAAAGATCTGAGACTATTACAACATCTATATTGGAATCAAGAAGCTTCTATTCTGGTAGACGGCAAAGAAACAGACAAAATTTGCATTCAAAGAGTTGTTAGACAGGGTTGTGTGTTGTCCCCAACTTTGTTTAACGTTTACTCAGAAATAATTTTTAACAAAGCCTTGATAGGGCAATGTGGAGTTCGAATCGGGGGAGAAACTATTGATAACATCAGATATGCAGATGACACGGCAATCATGGCTGAAAGTATCGAAGATCTTCAATTCCTTATAGATCGAGTCACTAGAGAATGCTCTAATAACGGACTAAGCATAAATACAACAAAGAAAAAGTTACTTGTGGTTAGTAAATAAGACCTCGGCGTTATACAACTAATTGTCAATAATGAACCGATAACCATTTTAAATGTCTAGGATGTGGGATAAACGAGACACTAAATCCGGATGAAGAAATTAAAACTCGTATAGAAATTGCAAGAGGAGCATTTATGAAACTTAGATCTATTCTGAACAATTCTCAGCTGAACTTACAGCTGGGAATTAAGTTCCTAAAATGTTATGTGTATCCTGTATTACTGTATGGATGTGAAACCTGGATTATGAAGATTAACATGATGAACAAGTTATAAGCCTTCGAGATGTGGTTATATCGTAGAATGCTCAGAATATCATGGGTTCAACACATTTCAAACAGAGAAGTCTTGAATAGAGTAGGTCAAGGTGAAAGTGACTTAATAAAGATGATAAAAAAGAGAAAACTCGAATATCTGGGGCATATAATGAGAGGAAGCAGATACAGGATAATGCAGTTGATACTCAACGGAAAGATCGACGGAAAAAGAGGAATTGGTAGAAAGAAATACTCATGGCTCCGAAACCTTCATCAATGGACTGGCTTATCAGCAATGAATTATTACATGCCGCGCAAGATCGAGAGCGATATCGGCAAATCGTCATGGACGCTACCCACGCCTAAAACTTGGGCACTATCATTGTAATAGTATATAATATAAAGCTATAAATAGACCATATTATATGAACAGGCTAATTTGATCTATTTTTAACAAATATTTTCACTTACACTCCATCCAAAGGGTACCAGGTCCAATTTTAAGCTACCTGCCAATTTCTCGTATGAAGGATATAGCTGGTTTATAATAAATTGATGACAACCAGGGCATAAACCTTCATAAAACAGGGTAAGAGTCAGATCAGCATCCTGAAAACAATATTTAAATAAAGTTAGTGATACAAATACACGACAAAGTAAGTTTGTAGATAATTCTATAATTGTATATTTGAATAGCCAAATATATGGTCTAGAAGGACAAATTTGTTAACTTTCTGTGCTCGAATCGGTATCAATGGAGTGTTATGAGGTTAGTCGGAAAGTCCAATGAATGTCTCCTAAATCATTACCACTACAGTTGTCAGCGTACAGAAATACCATCTACTTTGGATTAAGGAAACATTCGTTGGACTTTCCAAGTTTGAATTTGTCCCCGAGTGTATCCAGAAGCAGGGATACTGAAATGACGTCATAATACTCTATTGATACTGATTTGAGTACAAGAAGTTTAATGAATTTGTCTTTCTAGGCCATATATTTGACTATTCCATTCAACAAAGCGATAGCGAAGCTGTTTCTTCAAGCAGCAAAATTTCATTAATAAAACTCAATTGCGCTTATCTGCAAAAAGAACAACTGTACAATATGTACTTAAAAAAAACAATATTTGGATCTTTGAACTATTGGCTAACTATAAGACTATAAGACTAACTAAAATGGCGTCTTTTATGACAGCAGTAAAAATGAATAATGACAAGACAAGAGTCACTGTCAAATACCAAATAAGACTTTAAGTATTTTGACAGTTGCTTAACAAACTATTAAAACCTAAATTACATAAATTAAAGAAAAACAAAAAGGGTGTTCTGTTTTTCTTCCAGAGTTACTGGAGCAGCAAATGGACTATATGATTCTTTAATTAAATTTTTCTTTAATAGTTCTGCTATTTGATTTTCTATCTCTTTTCTGTCTCCAATGGTACATCCGAATGGCCGTTTGGAGCAGTATTTATCTACCATTATCTACCAATTTTTGATTATTGATTTTAATCTAAAACTCTTGATAGAATTTAACCCAATTAAAAAATCATAATTGAAATTTTCACTGTCTACGATAAATATATCCATTTTTTTCTCATTCTAATAGGTATTTATCCTCAGCGTATATCATTTGGTTTTCTACACCATTAATTTGTCCTCAAGTTATTTGAAGGTCATCTTTTTTTATCATGTCAGGTCATTGACCAGTGGAACGGACATGTTTGACTAATGCACAGCGCTCAGGGTGAAGTCGAGAATCACTTTTGTGCAGTGTAATACGTAATTTCAATAATTGAGATGTTTGGCCGATGTAGGAATTGCTGCAAGAGAGGCATGGAATGTTGTAGAAAATGTAACTAAGCCTATCTATGGGAGTCTTATCTTTTATCTTAGAATAAAGATTATTAATTGTTAGGGCTGATCTACAAAACACATTAAGTTTAATGTTGTTATTATTATTACCAAAGCTATTTTCAACACTTTTCAGAATCCTTGTTAACCCCGGAGTGATATCTCTGAAATATGATAATGAAAAATATTTGTTGATAGGATTATCCGAGACTGGGTTCCCACTTAATGAGTGAGAACAATAAATCTAAAAGTGAGTTAATTGAAATGTCTTATATTTTCCTTAACGATTTCTCCATCAATGTTAAGAGTGACATTAAGAATCTAAGCGATATACACCACTTCTTACTTAAATCAGATACCAAGAACAATACAACATCACAGATAACTAACTTGACTGATATATCCATTAACAACTAACCTACATTAATAATAATTTTAATATTTCCCCTAACTGGGATTTAACTCCATTCGGTTTTACCAATGAAGCTTAACGACATACGGATTCAAAAAAACTACTTGAATTGTCAGCACATGCGTTCTGATAAAACAAAACCTCACATTTAAATGTTCTAACAATCAAAAAGTTAGTTATTGCCGACAATTCAAAGAATTACTTCCTTTTAAATGTAGTTAGATTGGGTTTTTCGATTAACCTTGGGTAAACCTTTGCGTTTTAGGTTTAAAGCTACCGTACATTTCCAACGTTAAAAAATTTTTTTTGGCATATAGTAACAAAGAACACCACTATGTTGTTACTAGCTAAGTTTTTTAACATCCTAACTCAACAATTCTAAGTTATGGTAAGATCAATAATGTTTTTTAATAGATAATAGATATATAATAATAGATAATGGTAGCTAATTATAATTTATTCTCTTTCAGCCCTGAAGAAGCCAAATTAATTCTCTTTGGCGAAAACGTTCGGCGAAACAATTGATACTCATTAGAGTCTTTCTTGCAGATTTCCCCAATATTTAAGAGTTTACTATTTAACTTATCTGCAAAGATTAAATTTCTTCTCTTTATATATATATATATATATATATATATATATATATATATATATATATATATATATATATATAATTTATTCACACGAATATTGAATTATATTTTACCTGTACGCTGGATGACACGCACACCGTGGCTGCGAAGAACACTACCAACTTTGACAGGAACATCTTGGTTTAATATTGTAAATGATTCAGTAATACTCCTTTTTATAGTAGGTATAATGAGATGTTACTTCCTCGTATTAATTTAATGTGATAGTGATCAGAATATAATCTTTCAGATAATAAAGGACACAAACACTTGAGTACAGGACGGAGTATGGAAATATTACAACGATGATATTCAAATTTCAACAAAATTGTATTCAATGCGTTTTCATCTTTGAGATAATACTGAATTTTTTATTTATTGATTGTGGGGGATCACAATTTAAGTTTTTACAATTTTAACCAGCTGTTCTTTGTTACAGCTACAGAGTTTGTTTTGACCTTTGTTAGAGAGAAATTGTCATAAAAATAAAACTAATAAATCATTTGTAATTTGCATCTGTCGAGGGTACGGAGAAAAACAATATAAGTATATTAACATTATACAAGGTTAGAAGCACTAAAGACGAAAATATCAGAGATACATATTCTAACTAGTCAATTTCACTTATTTTTTTGATAGATATGTACTAACTTTAATATTAGTTAGCTTTGTTCTATCAAAATGTTCTTACTGTAATAATTATTTATCACTTAGTGTGCTCTGGAAATTTGAATAAAAATTTTAAATTACGTCCCGAAATAGAACTTTTATAACACCTCTCTTCTTCTTCTCTTCTTTTTTATAAGAAAAATGATTGTTCAATGTCGATTAATGCCTCTATTGGAGGTTATCACTCCATCTTTTGCGTGGTCGCCCGATACTTCTTCTTACCTATTGGTGATTTGTCCCTCGCTATTCTGACTAATCGGGTCTCTTCCATTCTGTTTATGTGTTCGTTCTATTCCTTTTTTCTGTTCAGCGTCCACTCATTTATTTCTGGTATATTGCATTTTCTTCTGATCTCTTCACTCCTCATTCGATCCCTCAGTGTGTTTCCTGTAATTCTCCTCAGTAAACGCATCTCCGCTGTTTCTAGTAGTTGCTGAGTTTTGGAGGTATCCGGTCTTGTCTCTGAAGTGTATGTCATTATTGGTCTTATTGTTGCTTTGTAGATTCATGATTTAAGGTCGGTATTAATGTGGGGATTGCGCCATATCGTGTTATAAGAACAACCTGCTATTTTATTAGCCTTTTGTACTTGATTTTTCACTTCCTTCTCCACATCTCCTAGGTGTAATTCCTAGGTAATTTGTCTCCATTACTTGCTCATTGCTGATACCGTCGATTTCCAGTTTACATCTAATTGGTTCTTTACTGATTACAATTATTTTAGTTTTCTGTGTAGAGATCACCATATTAAAATCCTTTGCCCTTGTGTTGAATCTATGGGTTAGTCTTTGTAGATCGTCTTCATTGGATGCAATTAGGGCCGCATCAATCTGCATAGCAGAGTATTCTGATTTCTTGTTCCCCATTTTGTATCCTCTTCCTTTATTAATAGTATTGATGATTTCATCCATGATTAGATTGAATAGCGTTGGACTAAGCGAGTCTCCTTGTCTTATTCCATTGCCCATATCTATTGGATCTCTAAGCTGGTCATCTATTCTGACTTCCATATTGTTGTTCTGGTAAATGTTCTCTATTGTTTTTATAACCTTTAGTGGAATTTCTCTATCGTAAAGAAGGTGAATTACATCTTTAAGCTTTACTTTATCGAACGCTTTCTATTAAATCTATTAGACATATGAATGCTGGTCTGTTATACTCTAGTGCTTTCTCGGTAATCTGTTTTATGATGAATACTAGCATCTGTGCACGATCTTCCTGTGCGAAAACCCTGCTGTTCATCCGCTAAGGTAATTCTCTGATTTATTTGGCCTTGCAATATTTTGGTTGTGAGCTTCAAAGTGGTGTTTAATAAGTGATACCTCTGTAGTTTTCAGGTTGTTTTTTATCTCCTTTTTTGTATAGTAGGATATGCTTCATTTCAATTCTTGATTTTATCTTTCATAATAATCTGAAAGTTTTTGTGTTGGTATTCTCTAAGAATATATCCTCGCTTTGAAATTTTTCTTATTTTAATAATTTTCAATAATTCACGAACAGCATACATCATAAATCGTACCGTACTCCCAAAGGATTAATATTAGACTTCGATATTTATCAAGGGACAAAGATACATTTCTGTAGAATGATGATAATTTTAAGAAGTTAGATGTTCGCCCATCCGCAGTTATTAAGTTACTTACATTATTAGAAGAAACACATGTATTCATTGATAGATATTTCACCATCTTACCTTTACTTGAGTCCATGTTAAATAAAAATATTTTAACAGGTAAAATAATGAAATCCAGAATACCCGAAGCAGTTCATGTAATATCGGACAAGGTGATGAGTCGATTAGGTCATAGTTCTTCTGAGCAAGATATAAGATCTGATGAAAAAATTAACATAGTCCAATGGTATGATATGAAATCAGTTATACTATCAACTGTGTTGCAAATAGAACCTTTAAATGAATGTACGATGGTCAAAAAAGGAATCTAGATATGTTGAGGTGCCTAGGCCAAACATTGTTAAAAAGTACAACGAATCCATGGGGGGGGGGGGGGAAGATTTAAGTGACAGGATGATCAGTTATTATAAAATGGAAATGCCTAGAAATAAGAAATGGAAAGTCCAAACCATTTTTTACTTATTTGACCTTGCGATTGTTGATTTTTGGAATCTATACCGAGATGATCATAAACAAGGTGATGCTAATAAAACCGTTTTAATTGGAGTGTAAAATAGCTGTTTCTGAGTTGTTCCTTATAGTAAACATTTCTGAAAATTCTGATTTTGGAAACATGTCAACACTGATAACTAGAAAAGTTACAAATCTAAAACACTTCAAATGTGTATTAAGAAATATATAACACATTCCTGCAATGATCTCTGAATTAAAAAATCATGTTAGGTGTAAGCTTCCAGGTTGTAAGGGTCAAACGAAAGTTTATTGTGAATCGTTTGACATATTTTTATGTTTAACGGAAAATAACAATTGCTTTAAATAATTTTATTTACAATAATTTTGTATTGATGCGATCCTGATGTCCTTTTGAATAGACATGTTTTGTTTTCACATTTCCAAAAAAAAAAATGTGTTTTTATACTAAAAATCATATGAATTTTATTATTTAAGGGGACAGTCTCATGCGATTAAAAAAAAAGAGACACATTTTAAAATTAAAGCAGAAAAAAACTATAATATTTATTAACATAATTCCTTTTGGAGATGATTAAGTAAGTCTTGTAGTACATAAAAAAATTTTTAATAGCGATTTTAACTTCATTGGTGTCCTGTAGATGGCGTGTAGTAAAAAGTGCGTTTTTGGTGGTAAGACACTTTGTGGGTCACCTGTAACAGATATTCAAAAAATTCAAAATGGGTTGTATTCGTGAGACTCAAAACTAGATGATAAACCTTTAAAATATGCAAATTGTATTATTTTGAAGAGTTTATACGAGTTTTTTCA